ACCGGACACTAAGACGAGAAAAATGGTTGGCTGCAATCCTGCATACTTCTGCTAACCTGGCTTTAGTCAGTTGATGATTTCATGCTTTCCTTACATGAATATTTGCAAAGTAACTGGTTTTTGGCTTTTTGTAATGGTGCTGAAGAGACTCCATGGCGCATATAATAAAGTTTTTTAAGACTTGATGGCCTTAGGACAGAAAATGTACCATCTTTCGGCCATTCTAAATTACCAATTTGGCCTCGTTTCACCACACATGCTTTTATGAATGACCGGTTAGTTATCCCAATTTGTGAGAATGTGTCTTGTTCTGATTGTTTATGTCACCAGATGAAGCTGAACCGTAGCCAGTGGAGGAATGAGTCAACCTGAAAGTTCCAGTACCTCCAGACGGAGACAGATAGAGAAAAAAATTAGCCTAATTTGTTAGTTAAGTTGAAAAAACGAGTGGAAGGTACTTGTAAATTGGACTCGCCAAATGATGAGGGCTTTAGAGTTGCGGCAATCGGGTTGTGCGAAAATAAAGTCGGCTCAAAGTTCTGCGACGTCGATGAATCGGTACTTAGTTTTTTGACTGTCGAGTGCATGGCGATATATTAACAAAAAAGTACATAAATCCTAATGTATGTGACTAAAGTGTGCTTTTCGCGGTGCCGCGTAATGAGTTAATGTGACGCAACTTTTCTGTTCGAATGAAAGTTGGTTGAAATGAATTATTAAATTGGTTTTATCGCAAACCGAAGGAGGTATGTGCAAACAAATCCTCTACTTACCCTTTCTCTAGAAAATATACTTTCAGAAAAAAACACATCACACTCAATTCTCTTGGAAAATCCTGCGATTCTAATAAGGCACTCCATAATTTGTTAGGAAATTGCAGTATGGTCATAAATTTCGATATAATAAATGAGTGGGACAGCAGCAAGCCAGCTTTATTTCTTGAACTATTGTTTTCAATGGGTTTTTGTGTTAAGTATTCCGTCTCGGTTTGATGATGTTTTATCGTGGTGGTACAGAAGAAGGCTTAGTAAATATTCTTCTGGGTGGCAGGATGGTTAGCAGTGGTCTTCTTAGCAAATTCCAACCTTCTTCACTACGGGCTGTTCAGGCCTCCTTTTGTTTTCGGCGAGACCAATTCACGAGTCCTTTCCAAACAAATTGTTTTTTGAGATGAATAATTAAGCCACGCTAAATCCGTCTGGCTTTTTTGGAAGCCATCTTTTCTCCATACATACACCGCAACCTTCTTACCAATATGCCGGCCTAAACATCGCAATGACCTGGTCTGCACTTAAAATATTTGTCTACTTAAATGTATTTCAGTAGTATACTTAAGTTTACGAATAAGATGACTTCATGATTTATACACTCATTATTTAACATTCGTGACAGTCATCTTCTGCGGATATTCCTACACACTGCCTCTAAAATCTAAAGGTAAACACGATCTTCATTATCTCCATCAGCCCAATCGGAAGCACGCAGTGGCCTGCTTTGCAGTTCAACTAAACTTTTTCGACATGTACGTCCTTTATTCGAGTCCCGCCCGGTCGTAGGCTGTTTTATGAGTCTAAACTGGACCATCTCAACGGCGTCAAGAGACTTTTTTTGTCAAGTGCATCTCGTGCCCATTTTTGGGAGAATTTTTCCTAAATAATATGTAGAATTTATTATTTTACCTTTTGTTTTGGCAATGAGTTAAACACTCCACAATATTAATCTACTATTTTCCAAGAAGCCATTTCTAGCAGATCGTCTTCCATTTTGATTAGGCTTGAAGATGACCTGCTCTCCGAGCTCGCTGTAAACTCATCTGTGCCCCTTTCAAGCCACACTTGCAGGTAGGCAGCACCCAGAGACCCTGGTCTCCAGGCCCCCATCGATTCAAGGCATACAACAAATGTAAACATCTTGGCTGTACATTCATGTCTGTCTCGTAATCCTCGGCCGCCCACTAAGTCCTCTCCTAATCGGCTTTCACTAAACCTGATTGGCTGTTTTCCATTTATCCCATCTTCTCTTTCACCCCACCCCCCTTCACACAAATACACACACACACACACGCACATACAAACAGAAAGAGTAAAAATTAGACTACGGAAGTGCTTACCGGTGACATTTCTGGCGACCTTCTTTCCTGAAACACCGGCACCGAACACATGTTTTGTCCCATCAACACTCTTCCAATGCAGCATGACTGACAAGTCGTCAGAAGTACATTCCAGTCAGGAAGACGGCTCAAGCCTGACTGCTCTTGGCCTCCTGTCCCCATCCCCCACATCCGTCTTCTTCTTTTCTATTCATTGGGCAAATGGTACCTCGTCGTTAGGACGACACGACGCTTCACCTCCATTGCTGGAACCCTCTTCCAGCCCCATTTTGTCGCCCGTTTAGACGGGGGCGGATTGTACATTCAGCCAGTTGTCACCGCCGAACTCATTAGCGGCCTCGACGGGACTCGAACTTGGTCCTCCGTCTTTGGTGCAGCCCAGCTCTTTCCACGGGGCCTGACTCCCTCAGGAGGGTTTCCCTCGGTTGATGGCGATGAATTGACCCTACTTGAGGACTATACCGAAGACTCGACTTCGCCGCTTTGATTTATCTGCAGCCTGCCCCCCCAACGGGTCTCGAACCGTCAACAATGTAGGCTTGCCTCTCCTGTTGTCTATCGCCAAGGGAATGGCTTCATCTTCACTCCTTTCGAGCG